CAGAGTCTTAAAAGTCTTAAAAGCAACTTATAATGCATTAAGTACTACTACTTTATGCATTTAGTCTTAAAATCTCTTAATTTATAATTAAAATAACATATAGTACAAGTTACCAATGCACATTATTACCTTCTCTTTTCATGTTCCCAAGATACTTTTGACATCTTTCATTCATGTTTTCACATTCTTATACATCTGTCTTCTCCCCATCCTCCAATGTGAGATTCAAACTAATATTCATCATGAGTTATTAAAAGTTCTCTCATTATCTCTTATTCAATTTTACTTTAGAATTCTCGGTCTTGCTCTTGATCTCTTGATTTTTTGCACTTGGTGTAAATCGAATACATTTATGGAGTCCTTTAAATATATTGGATTTTAAGCTGTCATACAATTTTTTTATCAACAAATTGAAATTGGAATCATAACTCTTATTTATTCAAATTGTATTAATATGTAAAGACCAAGTGTAAATTATATCATCGTTAAATCTTTTCTAACAAAACCAGTAAAATTTCAAAATCGTTAAAATTTTCGGCTCCCGCCACATTGCGCGGGTACACAACTAGTAAAATACAATACAAATTGATCAACATGGATAGTAGAGGTAAATATTGGCATTTGGTAATAATGTAGGGACCATTTGGGTAATTAAACGAAAATAGAAAGGACCAGAATGGCATAAGAAAAGGCAGTTGTGCATGCGTATATATAGAAAGGTTTCTTGTGTTTCACGGTACACGCAACCTTTTTTTTTTCTGTTTCATGTCCATCAGCTGATAACATCATTTAAGTGTACGCCACCCGTACCACCAATATATCAAATTTTTTGACATTAGATTTTAACTAGAATGGTAATTGTGTAGTACAGTAAGATACATTTTGATTTTAATGTTTTGTTTTATATTTTGGCTCTATCGATATTATAATGCGATTTTATATGGTTTTGAGAAAAAATAAAATGTTTTTATTTTTGAATAAAATATTATAAATTTTTTTTTAAAATAAACAAAATTAGTATTAAATCAACTATTTAAAAATCATAATTTTTTATGTAATTTCTTTAATTTATTCTTTTATTATAATTTAATTTAAGTTTAAAAATAAAATAATTTATTTTTGATTTAATATTATAAATTTTATAAAGTTAATAATTAAATATTATGTTAAATTCAATGATTATCCTAATTATATTTTAGATTTTTTATATTTAAAATAAGATGTTTATCATGTATTTGATTATGTTTATCTGCAGTTAGTTACACGAATTCAGATATAGAGCTTTAATAAGTTGTATTTATGCACAATCTACTTGCAATCTTGAGTTTTAAGTAATATGCATTAATAAACAATACTTTACGTATAAAAAGTGTTTTTTAAGAGTTTTTTTTTCAAATGCTTTATAATATAGTATAGATTACTTATCACTACTAATTTTTGGATGATCATAATGATGTGTAATTATTACAGTTGAACCTTTATGACTACAATATAGGGGGTGTTTGGGATTGCTTATAAAAGCTGCTTTAACTTATTTCATTCTGGCACCGGTGATAAGCTGTTTTCTGGTGTTTGGATAAGAAAAAAACTGCTTATACCGGTGCCAAACCGGTAATAAGTTGTTTTTGATAAGTTAATCCTTCATGACTTAAGAAAAACTGTTTATTACCGGTTTACAATTTTAACCCTGTTTTATTTAACTCCGGTTTGATACCACATAAGTTAATAAACATTTTTACAAAAAAACATAAGTTGTTTTAAATAAGCAATCCCAAACACCCCCATAGATGATGATAGTTGACGAATCACGATAGATGACTGGACATCCGTGATAGTTGATGGGTTAACCGCGATAGTTGGGCGGGGCATCCGCGATAATTCTAGCATTGAGATCAGAAATGAATTCATTAACATTTTGATCTATTTGATGAGATGAGTTATAACAACATGTGTTAAGTGAGTTATTGAGTTACTTGATGCGATAATTGATAATGTCTCATCTTTTAGATGCGACAAAAGAAGTTGTTATATCAAATATTGTATGTGTTATTATTACAAATATGAGTTTATAAATGTGTGTGATGATTATTCACCCTGTAATAGTAGACAAGAAGATAATTCTCATTAGAACTTTCGGTCTAACCCTCATTTTTGGTGTTTTAAATGGTGCATTACAGGTCAGGTAAACAGATGTTAAGAGAAAAAGAATTTATGAAGAAATTATACGATTGCCTGCATGTATATATTTGGGATAATGTGTTGTAACTTGTACCTGCATGCTGCTTATGAGTACAAGTTTTGTATAGAGATTTTGAAAAACAGAAATTTGGTAGCTATTTTTATAATGTAGCTCTTATTATATTTGGTACCGAATGTGTAAAATTGCATTTCTTATTATATGAAACACATGATTGTATGCAAATGTGGGACCTGAGGCGTTACAGGTCCAAACAGTGTTTTTCTTATAATTTTACTCTTAGCAGAATATTTGATCCAATTTAAAATAGTAATTATCCTAATTTCTAAAACATTTTTTTAGTTTTTTGTTTTATGGTATTTTTCAATCAGTTATGTGATTCAGAATGTTTTTCGCCTTCTCGTGAATTAGCCACCTTCTCGTTTGAACCAGACCTAAATTATACAATTAGATATTGTGTATGTTTGTCTTTGATGTTTGGATTGGACAGGAGCATGTATTTGTCATCCCCGTTATATTAAATCCATAGTTTCTTGAATCAGGAATATATTGACTAAACATATTTTGATATCTTGTATAGACCGAGTATGCATGCCTTTTTTCAGATAGTCCTATCAAGGGGTTAGAGACACTACTCTCGTTATACAAAAAAAGCATACTATCTTTGATTATGCAAGTCTCATCACATGCATTATACAGATGATTTTTACCCACAAAAATTACCCAGAGAAATTTCCGTGGGTGGTTACTGACGGATTACCCAGAAAAATAACAATGGCTCGGTAGAATCTGATGTTTTTCGAGAAAATACTAACGGGTCACCCAGAGAATCCCTAGTAATCTATCACTTATTTGGATTACCCACCAACTTTTGTGACTGTTTTGTGACAGATCACCCTTTTAGTGGCAGATTTTCCAGGGAAAAGTTCGTAAGCAACAGTCCTCCATTTAGTTGTAATGTATTGTCATATACCAACGACTATTTTGTCACCCTGTTATGATATGATTAGATTTTTTTTGATTAACCTGGATATCCAACCCGCTATGCGAGCCGACTAATCCCAGGGCGACCACCTGCTTTGCATATAATCTAGAGTCACCGCATTTGAACCTTCGTGGCCACAAAGAGATTTTTATTTCTCATTGGATTTGAACCTGAGACCTCCTGATACTTTTGACATTTGGAGCCAAGCTTAAACCAATCAGGCATCACCCTTGTGGTTAATATGCTTAGATTTAGCATCAAAACGTATGGCTTAACCATAGTTGACCACAAGATCATCAAGTCAAATGATATTATTGTACCATGATTACATGAAAAACATTTATGATACTCATATGACATCCCCTATGATGTTCTCATGACAGGTTTGTCTAGTATACAAGTTCACCAACTTGTACCATACATGAACTTTATACTAGCTATACACACGCAGTCTGAACTTATAATGTCTTTATTAATCATAACCTAATTGTTTCTGGACACAATTATTTCATGATTGGTTTTTAGTCATATCACCTACGATGTATGCACATGAAAAACCATATAAAAATTTGTTTTCCCATTTTTCTAATATATTTCAAAATACTTCATTTGTCTTAATGTGTATATATTTGAATTCATGAAGTGTATAATAAATTTTTCAGATTAATTGAACTTGTTTCAGCTACGTAGAAAGCTGTCCATTAAGCGAATCCACATAAATGCTTAGAGTTTGTTGGCAATCTTTAATAGAGTACATGACCTATTGGGGACAACCGAACTCATAAATACATGCCTACCTACTGAAAAATCACATTAATGTCTCAGGATGTGACAATTGGACTGAAATCCGTATTCATTCTATGCAAGGATCCTTAACTTCGAAAAGCAATTCACACCAAACCTCTAATCCCTGTACTCCGCCAACAAAATGAAAGAGTTCAAAGACAGCACATAAACCTTACATCCCAAATTCTTATTTCCCACCTCTAAAGTCTGTTTGGTGGCTGACAAGAGGTGATGACTGTCGGGAAAATTGTAATAGCGTTGGAATTGAAAAGATGCAATATTTTAGCGAAAACATAAGAACTTGTTGTAATATGACATCATATGCACCATTCAAGACTTCACATACGACAATTCCATATGGGTATTTATGGAAGTTGGTAAAGCTATATTGACGTATATTTTGTCTTAAGATCCAGTTGTATTCCATTAGATAACTAAAGCGTTTGAACATATGTAAGTGCTGCATCTAAACCTTGTACCACTTTAAGTAAGCTCTAATTAAAATTATCCATAAAGAAACCAGAATTTGGTAAGTTAATTCAAATCAAAGATCTTATCACTACCAAACACGCTTACAGTTTCTAAAGTTGCACAGGTACTTCAAGAGGATAAATATCCTAACGCCTAATTTCTTCGGCTTTTTTATCGGGAAAGAAACTACATAATCGAAAATTTCAAAATGAATAAAAACATGACCAAATACATCTGTATCGATATAATTCTTGATTTTAGGAATACAGCCCTGTTTCCCATATGCATGATTAATGCCGTATTCCACATGATGATTGCGAACCTCAGATGGGTCATTGGTTTCAACTGTTTTCAAATGAAACAGACAAAAATAATAAATATGATTGAAATTTTATCTGGTTTTGATATATTTTTGAATGTAAATAAAACAAAAAAATTAAATGAAAATGATTAGAAAATAAAAAGGGGGTTATTAAAGCATCCCAATCCAATTGTATAAATTATTAGCATTCTTTACAAATATTCCTTAGTTTATAATCCAAAGAGTGCACTTCAAAAGTTCTCATCACTATCTTGAGAAACCTTAGCGTACGCCGTGGTGCGTACGGTACCCTTTCCCTTTTGGAAAAGATGATGGTTTCTTTGTTTCTCGCGCTGTTTCTACCGTGCGCCGGGATGAGTGTGGTGTTCCTTGTGTATATGTGTTTGCTATGGTACGCCGCACGTCACCTACCGGAAATGACTTCTCCGGTGAAACCCACCGCCGGAAATGGTCTTTCCGCGGCGGAGCTCGAGAAACTTCCGAGAACCACCGGAAAAGAACTCGGGTTGGGAACTGAATGTTCGGTGTGTTTGGAGGATATCGAGGAGGAACAACCGGCGAGGGTGGTTCCGGGATGTAACCATGGGTTTCATCTACAATGCGCCGATACTTGGCTCTCAAAAAATCCGGTCTGTCCTGTTTGCCGGAATAAACTTGAACCGGAGTTCTTTCATCCTTCTGAAACTAATCCCTGCTGAATTTTTTTGATGAATGCCTCCATCAATCATCACCCTTCGAAATCTTTTTGAACAGTAATTATGATTTCTGCCTTTTTTTTTAGTTTCTGATAGCATTCAAGATTGTACATGATATAAAATATGGATGAAATTGCTGTCAATCTATGGTTTCTTGATCGTCAGAGTTTCAACAGCTCCTCTCTCTCTCTCTCTCTTCATGTTTTCTGGGTTTCACGAATTTGTTTGTAGTTCTTTAATTGAATTTTCGTGTGTAAATTTGGTGGGTTTTTGATGATTTCTTCAAAATCTGATTTGATTGCTTGAAATTTGATCATGAAAATGGTGGAGGGTATGAATGACAGCAGTTTCAACACCCTTCATTTCCTTCACTTTCTCTCTCTAAAAACTATGAAAATTAATGATTTTCTTGGCTCTTAAATTGATTTTTTAATGTAAACTTCTTGGGTTTTTGTTAATTCATGTGAAAATTTTACTCAAAAGTGCTTGAATTTTGGTCATGAAATGATTTTACGAATAAATGCCAACAGTTTGAAAACCCTCTATTTCTATGAAATATTACAGAAATTTTGTTTTTTTTCACTGATTTTGTGATAAATTTAAGTTAAAGTTTGTTAATTTCTGGGAAATTTTCATTTTAAAGGTTCAATTTTGATCATCAAAACGGTTTGAATGTATGAACATTGCAGTTACCAAAATCCTCTGTTTCTCATTCAGCTCTTCGTCTTCTTCATTTTCATCTCCTCTCTCTAAAACATTACTGATTTCTGGGGTTTTCAAATCATTTTTCAGGCTAAAAATGGTGTAAATTTCGTCAATTTCTGTGAAAATTTCATCCAAAAGCTTGCTTTTTGATCACGGAAATGGTGAATGACGGTGTTTTCACAGTCAGATGTTAGAAACTGTTTTAATTCTCGATTTTTGGTTATTTATTTGATTTTTAATGTCAATTTATGGTGGGTTTTTGTTAATTTTGTATTGAATGGAATGGGAGTGGTGTATGAATGGTGAAAACCGAGGGTGGTGACATGTGAAAGACGAGAAAAAGGTGACGGTGAGAGTTGCGTGGAAGCAACGCTCCGCCAATGAGAGTGGGGGAGTTTGTTGGGTGAAACACATCACGGATTAGAAAGTCATAAAAATTGGCGTATACATAGGGTACCAAATCTTTTATCTATTTCATAGTTAAAAGTACAATAATTTGATCACGATGATAGGATGATTTGAGTTTGGTTTCAAAGATCAAAAGTATTTAAAGATTTCAGGTTCAAATTTAAAAAGGAATAAAAATTTCCTTGTGGCCACAGAAGTTCAAATGCGATAACTACAGACTATGTGTAAAGTAGATGATCATCCTGGGATTAATCGGCTCGTATAACAGGTTGGATATCCAGGTTAATAAAAAAAAAGTAAAGTAATTAAAAGTAAAATAAAAAATAGATATTTAATTTAAGACAAAAAAAAAAAAAAAACGTGAACCGTTATTTTATGATGATAATATAAAAGTACCAAATTTAACGTTGAATTACTTTATTGGACGTATCAAATGTTACACCAATTTTGACGCAACATTATTTCTTTCACATCTAATTTAATTATAATTGAATAATATATGACTATATCTAAAATTTTACTTTTTGGTATAAGATTTAGGGGTTGTTTACTTGCGGTTTAATTAGGCTTATTGATATATCTGATTTATTCGCACAACTCATTTGGGTTGTTTACTTACGGCTTAATCGCACAGAACATGGCTTAATCGCACAGATAAAAATGTGTGTTGTTCCCATTCAGCCACAAAAATGACACTCCTATCCCTTATTTAAAGCATCGCCTCCGTCCCAAATGAGACACCCCATCGTCAGCCTTTTTATAATTTTTTGTTTTGTTGTTCAAATAATTAACATTGGGGGGTAAATCGGTCATTTATGTTATTCAGACTGTTGGTTCAAATAAAAAAGTAAACAACAACACTCATTTATCCAGACAGACAAATTTATCCGGATAAACAAATTTATCCATACAGGACAAATTTTAGTGTTAGGAGTTGTTTACCAAACACTTATCAGGATAAGTGCTTACCAGTAAAATTTAATACTATTTCTTATTGACCGGGTAAGATTTTAGTCCACCAAAAACGGTATTGTATGTAACAATATAACCATTAGACACTAGCCCTAGTAAGAGTTGTCGTCCTTGCCTTCACTTTTACCATGTATGATTCTTGGTCCTAGCCATATTCAACCGGTAAGGTAATATGACTTGGTAAACGTTTACTCGGGTAAGCGTTTGATAAACGACCCCTTGCTTATTGAAGAAGATTTATTGTTGGTACTAAATTTTACACCAATTTTTATGAATTTGGTGTTACTCATAAGAGATGTCATAAGGCTATCTCTGATGAGGACACCAAATACCAAATTTAACATCAAATCACTCAAATTGGTACATCAGATCTGATGTAGTAGTAACACACCAAATTTAGTGTAATACTATTTATTGATATCAAATTTTATATCGATATAAATGAATATATATCTAAAATATGACATTTTTATGTGAGATTCGTTGTTATCTTTACAATAGATTTATTGTTTACGTCAATTTTCATGAATTTGATGTAAAATTTGATGTCATCCGTTGAAGATATCTAAAGGGATTAACAATGGAGTGTAAGTGGCTTTTCGAGAATCGACTGAGGGGCTGTTTGGTAATTGCTGAATGGTTTGGTGCAGAATGATTAAGTGGTCAGAATGATTAAGAGACTCTTTTGATATAGTGCAAAATGAAATATAATTGTTTGGTAATTGTGTACAATGAAATTAGGGCTCTTAATAGTCAAGGGAGATTCATGATACAAAATCATTCAGAGGGTTTTAGAAAGTCTGGCTCTTAACGATTCAGAGGTTGCCTAATGAAACTATTAAGAGATAAACAAACAACCCTTGAAACAGCCAATATTACCAAATTAATTTTACTTTATAGTCATTTTTTTTTCAATCAAATTCATATTTTAGTCAGACAAATATCCTTCGCATTTCATAATAAAACTTGATTTTTAAGATGTTTTAATAAAATATTTTTATTTAATGATGTAGAACAGTATTTTTTTAATTCAGATTATAATCTGAAACAATAATATTATGCTTTTTAGTCTGTTCAATCTACAACCTACGTGTTTTAGATTGTTCAGCTTTGTTTTAACAACTTATTGTAACACATTTATATGAGACAGATAAATGTTTCTTAAATATTTTTATTAGGATGATTTCGGACATCCTACCGAACCAAATTTATCATAGTGATAATTATAGCTCTTGTATGATTTTTTCCGTTTTGTCATTTTTATCCTTTTTAGGGAAAAAGACGATTACTATTTATAAATATCTCTCAAAGGTTCCAACTTAGGTCACCCTTATATTTCAAGTCTACACGGAAAAATATTGCTAGAAAGATACTGAAACAACTACCTGCAGATAACTGATACATCAAAGTAGATTATCTTTCGTACAAATGGTAGGTCGATAATCGACGGTGATGTTGATAGCAGAACTAACTGTGTCACAACCTGTAGGCACAAATATTAGCTAGAAAACCTATTTATAAATAATTATACATCAAGATAAATATAACCGACAACCCTTTTTTATAGCCAAAATGGATACGGATACCGTTCTAGTGGAGTCGATGATTTGTAAAGAGAACTGACAGTCGTTTACCAAATGATTATTGGATGTCATTTGTTTTACTGGGTGAGTAAGGTAAAATCATGGATCGAAAATACACTTTGATAGCCAAAAATATTACCTGATTAATGCTTATTGGATAAAAGACGCTTACAAGGTAAGAGATTTTTAATTTTGATATCGTTTATCGGGTGAGAGATTTTGATATCCAACAATGTTATCAGATATAAACAAAGATGATAACTCTTCTGGAAGTGTAAACATTTAGTAAACGACTCCTAAGGGGTGTTTGAGATTGCTTATAAAAACAACTTATTGACTTATTCCGGTATGACACCGACAATAAACATTTTTGAGTGTTTGGATAAACAACTTATACAGGTGTCAACCCAATAATAAGAAGTTTTTGAAGAAGTTAAACCCTTTTAACTTATAATAAGTTAATAAATGCTTTTGTAGAAAAGAATAAGTTGTTTCAAATAAACAATCCTAAACACCCCTAAATTGTAACATTTAATTTTGTTATATATTTTTTATGATAAAAAGTTATAAGAAAAGACAAACTTTTGTTGGAATCAATTTGTTATGATTACTCACTCATTAGTTAAGTAGCTAAGCTTTTTAGGGTATGTTTCACTAATCCTGAGGAATGAAAATAAAAATGACAGAAAATGAAAACGAGAATAAACTTCCGTTCCTCCCAGTTTAACCAAGAATGAAATTTTGGACTTCTGGAGGGATGAATCCATTATATTATAGAAAACCAAACAGTTTCTTTTATTTTTATTCCCATTAATTGCTGCTTAAGACCTCTAACCAAACACCCCCTTAGTTCATCCTAGATCTAATCTTTTTTAGTTCAAAAATTTCTGATCCATAAGGGTGCGTTTGGTACGTAGACAGGATATAACAGAACAGAACAGTTGTTTAGCGTTCGGTAAGACATGACATGACATGACATAATTGGTTAAAATGACCAATTTACCCCAATTGAGTTGTTTAGTGTTTTTTCAAATATCAACTACACTATGTAACAACTTGTCAAGAAGAAATCACATATACATGTATCCAAGAACTGATAATTAAGGTAAGACGACAAGATTATTACATAGATGAATAATGTAGACTACAAGATTACTTGAGGAAGAAAGTTGAAAATCGATCTGTAGTACTCTGACCACTATATGAAAGAAAATCACAGAAATCGAACGTTTAGAAGTCGGCCGTTTATAATAATATCAATATTGTTTTTTCAAATATTTATGATAATCTTCATATTTAAATTTTATTTAAAAATAAAAATATTATGGATTTCTCAAAACCATATAAAACCGTATTATAACATTGACCGAAACAAAAAAAAGACGAAACATTAAAATCGAGATGTATCTCGCTGCATTGTGCGAGTATGCTTCTAATAACTTGAAATATATGGAGTAGATAATGTGCATTAATCAAAATAAATTAATTAGGACAA